TCTCAGGAAGGAGAAAGCCTGGTTCCTTTACATGGCAGAATAAAGACAGGACCAGATGAAATCATTTAACAAATGGGATTGCAGCAATGACTATGTGAGGGTCCTTGCCCCCAAGAGGCTCAAGGTCTAGTGCAAACTGGGGAACAAAATCCTTAGCCATCATCTCTAAGCTTATTTCATAGGAGATGGGAGGGAGGAGTTGAAGCTTGTGGGGTCACCCAGTGTTTAGTGACAAAGCTGAGACCCTAAATTAGGTCATCTGAGTTCCATGTCACTGCTCATACCTAGACCCCACAGCCTAAATTCATGAGAAGAAAATGGCTCCCCAGGAGACAGGGCTGGGGCGAGCACTGCACACGGGCTCACAGCCCCACCCCAGCTTCCTGCAGCCAGGGCAGCCTCACAGCTGCTCCTTCTCTTTATAATAAGCTTCTGCTCTGAGTCACCTGATAAATGGCAGCAGCTGGGCAGACAGGAATGAGGATGTGATGAACCAAAAGATGGATGAAATATGTGGGGAAGCAGCAACATCCTACCCCAGAAACTGCCTTGGAAACAGGTTATATAATCTATGCAGGTGCATGAAAATGCCATGGAACCCGAAATCAGATGACCTGTGAAACTCTTAACCTCCGTCCTTTATTCCTTCTGATATAACCATCAGAGCAAGCCCTACAACCCTCTGGTTGAAAGCTGGGCTCCAATTCAGGTTCACAAGAGGAACGCAATCTCCGTGGGAGGCTAAGGAGCTCTCCTTTACCCCAGGTTTCCCTTCACACAGGGCAGATTCCAGGTATAATTAGGAACTAACAGCACTGCCCGAGTCTTGGGTGCTGGGAAGACAAGCTCAGCGCTGCCCAGCTCGCAGTCACCCACTGTGGAGGGAACCAGCTCTCTGGCTTTCCTGCTGCTAATTCCTCCCACCCAGCCGCACAGAGGCTGGATCCAGAGGCTTCTCCCAGGTGCAAGAGGTGGGAGCTCACCTCTTCCCGGGGGGCCAGGTGAGGAGGTCATTCTGCCTGCGGGCTATTTCTGCTCTTGTCCTCAGCTGCTGGCTTTGGAGACAGCCCTGTACTGCACACACATGGACGACCCTTCCCCCAGAGAAATGATCAACAACTTCCGGCAGGTCCAGAAGTTCGATGAGAGGCTGGTATACACCTCCTTCCCCAAAGGTGAGGAGAGGCAGTGCTGGGGGGAGGGGGGCGCCGGAGTGTGGTGCCAAGACGTTGGGCTCTTTTGTGTGAATTCAGGTTCTGGCACTGATGCCCTCAAGAGGTTGGCTGAGAGCTCCCTGGCTGCCACGGGAACCAGGTGCCTCGTAAGACTAGGTGTGGGGCTCACTGGGGCCTCCCTTCACTTCTCTCTACTTCCCTGAGCCTTTGCCGAGAAACTCAAGCTGGGGCCCCCAGGCACATGGACCAGAGCCCTCTTTAAGTCTGGGAGTCTTGCACAAGAGGGGAAGAGAGAATTCCCTGGGGACTTTTCTGTTCCAGACGATTATCCCTTCTCAGACACAGGGTAGGACCCTTTCCATGACATCAGACTTCCAACTTCCCTCCCAAGGCTTTCTTGGCATCCAAGGCTGCAGCCAGCCTGTCTTAGGCCTGGCCGGGTGATTCAGGCACCACCACCGAATGACCAGGAATGCCTCTACGTTAGATGTGAAACAGTGGGCATAACCCATATCCATGGCTAGAGCAGCTCGTGGTCGAATGTAACAGGCCCGTTAAGCAAGAAAGCACCCTGGTGCACTGCCTTTCTAACCTCCTTGAAGCTTGGAGCACAAGCACTTGAGTTCTGAATTGAACAAAGCATAATAGTTTGGTTTCTTCCTAATGCTGCAAGGGCTCGGTTCTCCCTTCTAAACTTGTAACCAATAACTCGCCAGTAGGACGTGAACCTTTTTTCTTGCTCAGTGCCTATATCAACACTGCTGGAAGTGGGTGTTAGGGAAAAGGGGTGAGGGAGCCGTGCTGCGGCCCACACCCCTCTTCAGACCTCTGAGTTCATTTTCAAGCTCATTTTCTTACTGTAGATTCTCAGCTGGTCCCCAGCTTGGGAATCTTCATGACAGGTCTGTGCAGTTCCATTTCATCTCCCATATCACGTGTGGACCAAACCATGCTAGGTGTTCATATTTAAAGATAATCTGTTCATGCCTGTAATTCCAGCACTTTGGGAGGCCGAGGTGGGCAGATCATGAGGTCAGGAGTTTGGGACCAGCCTGACCAACATGGTGAAACCCAAATCTACTAAAAATACAAAAATTAGCCGGGCATGGTGGCACGCACCTGTAATCTCAGCTACTCAGGAGGCTGAAGCAGGAGAATCGCTTGAACCCAGGAGGCAGAGGTTGCAGTGAGCCAAGATTGCACCACTGCACCCCAGCCTGGGCAACAGACTCTGTCTCAAAATTAATAATAATTATAATAAGATAACCCATTAACCCACTTGTGAGAATCCACGTTCCTTGTCTCACCTGGTAGGCCTTTTTGGGTTCCTTTCTTATTATATGAGGTTATAACTCTCACCTCCTAGGCTTAAACATATGGAGACTGTATTTGAAGGCCCTTCCCAGGGAGCTTTAGAAACTGACCCATCCTTACGGTCAGGATTATGTCATTCTCTGTCTTTTCATGAAGAACTGCCCAAGAATTGGTCTTTTGTGTTTTCTCCTCTCCAGGTACCACTAGTTAAGATCATTTCCCTTTTTCCTCGGTTTCTCAGTTGGAAAACAGAATCTGTGCCTTCCTGAAAATTCAGAATCCATGTGATGATGACTGACAGTTTCTTTTCTAGGAAGTGAACCGAGTGCATGGAATTATCCCTGTGTATCTGTTCTGAGTACAGCACTGTCCTTTCTCATTCTTCTAAGTGGAGAATGTAGTATCCAAGGGTTAAATGGAACTACTTCAACTCTTAAAACAAAAAACATAAAAACTCTGCCAGGAGATTAGGGACTTGGCCCACATAGATCAGGTAGAATTTTGCTCTTGATTTCAGGACTCCATTGCTGGCTGTGTTCTCCGAGCTCAGCTATGCAGCTCCAGGGAGGGCGGGTGGTACATACTCTCCTTATAGTGAGGAGGCCTACGTTCAAGGCCTGGGTTTGTTTTCTCCTGGCTGCATGCTGTGGACTCATCATGTCCTTTGTTTGGCCTTGGTTTCCTCAGCAACAAAATACCAGGTAATCCTGGCTACTTGGGAAGCTGATGCAGGAGATCACTTGAACCTGGGATATGGAGGTTACAGTGAGCCAAGATTGTGCCACTGTGCTCCAGCCCAGGTGATAGAGTGAGACTCCGTCTCAAAAAAAAAAAAAAAAAAAAAGAAAGAAAAAGCCAGGTTGGATTAGGTGATCTAACATCCTTTCAGTGTGAATATGGTGTGATGGTTAAGTGGACACTAACAACTGCCAATCCTGACTTTACATTGCAGGGACAGTGTTTGAGGGCAGTTACAGAGGATCAGAAGAATCCGTGCAGGAGCTTGACTCTGACATCCAAAAGTAACCCCCATTTGTAATGATGGACTCTGGCACTGGGAATAATTAGCCATCTTCTTAGACCGGCTCAGGTCTAAGCAGCTGCTTGTAGTGTGGGCAGTGCAGGCAGCTTTGTAGCCAAGTGCTTCAGTAGATCCTCCCGGTCTGGCTGGGGAATTTGAGGGGCCTCTAAGCAGAAGCCTGCAGACCAACCCCTGGCTTAGGACATCAAGATCAAAGCCCAAATGCAGAGTTGCCACTGCCCTTCCTGCATGGCTTGCCCAGAGCTGGTGCTTCCACAAGCCCAGGCTGGAAGCAGCTTTCTCCTCCGAGTGAGAATCTGTGGCAGTCCAAGGCAAACCTGTTCATTTGGAGGCTGATTATAGAAGCTTGGCCAGAACTCCCCCCTCCCTCTCGCTTCCCAAAGGCACAGGCAGCAAGAGGGGCTGCTTCCCAAGGATCAATGAGGAGGCAGCCCCAAAAGGGTGGAAGCCCAGCCCTCATCTGCCCAGGGGGCCTGCATTCACTAGGCCCCTCTCACTCAGCTTGGAGCAGGCCTCAGACTGTAACATGCTGTTTCAGGTTTACGGTGGGAGCCTCTGTCAGTGTGAACCTTGAGCAATTGGAACTCAATTTGTAGCCTCTTCCACTGAGGCATGTTTGTAATTAGGGTCTGGCTTATTCAGGGCTTTCTTGGAAAGTTAACAAGAACTATAGAGTCAGAAAATTCTGCCAGGAGAAAAGTAACGTTTAAAAAATCATCTAGGGGCCAGGCGCGGGGGCTCACGCCTGTAAGCCCAGCACTTTGGGAGACCGAGGTGGGCGGATCATGAGGTCAAGAGATCCAGACCATCCTGCCCAACATGGTGAAACCCGTCTCTACTAAAAATACAAAAATTAGCTGGGCGTGGTGGTGGGCACCTGTAGTCCCAGCTACTCAGGAGGCTGAAGCAGGAGAATCACTTGAGCCTGGGAGACAGAGGTTGCAGTGAGCCGAGATCACACCACTTTACTCCAGCCTAGTGACAGAGCCAGACTCCATCTCAAAAAAAAAAAAAAAAAAAAAAATGTCTAAGATGGTTGGGTGTGGTGGCTCATTCTTATAATCCCAGCACTTTGGGAGGCCAAGGCAGAAGGATCGAATTAGCACAAGAGTTTGAGGCTGCAGTGAGCCCTGATCACACCACTCACTCCAGCTTGGGTGACAGAGTGAGGCCCTGTCTCTTAAATAATTAAAAAATCAAAAATTCCCTATGAGAGAAAGCGCATGGACTTTGGGGAAGGATCTGAAGTTTAGCCAGGTTGGGACAATTGGGACTGAATCATTTAACTCAACCCTGCTATTTTCCTCTACTGTGTTTAGAAAAGGGGTACAGGGCCTTGTTTCTGTCCTCAAGAGTTTTATAGTCTAGCTACAACTTCGCCTGGGGGCAGAGTTTCTCAACCTTGGCACTATTGACAATTTGGGCAGGAGAATTCTTACAGTGGGGGCTGTCCCATGTGCTGTAGCATTGGCAGCACCATTGTCTCTACCCAGTAGATGCCAGTTGTACCCCCCCCCCACATTGTAACAGCCAAAAGTGTTTCCAGACATGGCCAACTCTCTGCACAGGAGGAGGGGCAAGATTTCCCCTGATTGAGAACCACTGCCCCAGGGTTTCTGCAGAACTCACTGTTTTCACTCATGTCATAGGAGTCTCGAGTTTTATATCACATGCCCTGCTCTTCATTCTTTCATGGCATGAACATTTCAGTGTGATGATGATTACCCCTGAAATAACAAGGTTGAAGTTACTGAGGCAGAAAAAACCAACCCAAGAGAAACCTTGTTCCCCATCTTCCTTTGGAATTCAAGTATAGATTCTTTTTATATGATTGGGTAAGACCAAGAGACGTGGCATGAGAGAAAACTGTGCACCCTTAGGAGTGTACAAATCCCTTATCAGGGCTGCAGATGCCTCTGAAGTAGCAACTTCATCAGAATCCTCCCTCATTCTTCTTCTCTCTCCCTTTTGTATGAGTTTTTCTCTCTTGTATGTTATGTTTCTTGCAGCCTTTAGTTAAAACATCCACTCTTTATGGAAAAGTGAAAGTCACGCCAGGTACTTTTTTCCATTCTTAAAAAGCATCTCTTCCATTGGCCAGGTGTGGTGGCTCATGCCTGTAATCCCAGCACTTTGGGGGACCAAGGAGGGTGGATCACCTGAGGTTGGGAGTTCGAGAACAGCTTGGCCAACGTGGTGAAACCCTGTCTCTACTAAAAAAAAAAAAAAAAATTAGCCAGGAGTGGTGGTGCATGCCTGTAGTCCCATCTGCTGGGGAGGCCAAGGCAGGAGAATCGCTTGAACCCAGAAGGTGGAGGTTGCCATGAGCCAAGATCATGCCACTGCACTCCAGCCCGGGTGACAGAGTGAGACTCCATCTCAAAAAAAAAAAAAAAAGTATTTCTTCCAAGTGGCGGATGGCAGATTTGAGCTGAAGGAGAAAGCAAGTCTCGTTGTCCTCAAGGTGGGCCCCTGGGGCCCACGTCCTGGGGCCAGTTCAGATTTCTGAGGAAGTCTGGTGCTCTTAGTGGGAAAGGGGAAAGACAGCAGAGGCAGCTGGACATTACAGGGGCCCAGGCTTAGGGCTTTAGCCTGGTTCTTGGCTCCTTTAGTTCACCTCCTCCTAGCCAGTGGCGCCAACACT